CTGCAATGAAATGTTGTCTTTGGCTGGTGTTTAAGGTGGAACTGATCATGGTTCAGAGACGAGCTGGTCAAGGGCAGCGCCAGGCCACACACACAACAAGCACATACCAGTGAGTTTTACATGCCATGCCAGCCAAGAGGCTCGCTTTACACAAGCTGCAGGGCTGTGTGGGAGGATGGGTCACATTTTTCTGCTGCACAAAGTGAGACACAAATCCCAGCCACCCACTTACCAAACCAGACACATTTGCCTTCGTCATCTCTTTGAGAAGTCAAGCCCCCAACCACTTTCTCTTACTTCTGTCCTCTAAATCCCTCTCCTCTCTCAACTCGCCACCACCACTCCACTCTTCTGCCCTCCCTCCTTTCCTTCCTGGATGCCCGGGCTGGGGGTAATGTCATGAGAGCACGGGCAGGATGAAAAGGGAAAAGCCAGTATGCCAAAGCCCCCTGTGGCCATTGGACTAACAGCATCTTACTTCAAAGCAGAGATCTCTCGCTCGCATGGCGACAAAAACCTGGGCCACCAATGAAAGCCAGTGGCACGATTACATGTTCCAGAGGAGCTGCCAAATATTGCAGTGCATGTGTGTGAAAGACAGTGTAAAGAAGGGTCAAAATGACAACTGAGAATACATTACTGACTGCAATAAATAGTTCATCTTGAGAACAGATATGTGTGCGCACAGGTGTGACCATGATTTACAACATCTGAAAACATCAGAGGGTAAGCAGAGACTTAATCTGTGAGAAGCTGCAACTACAGAAAAGCGATTACTCATTCTGCTAGCACCAAGGCAGCGTGGAGTGTCATCCTTATAACTCAGACAAGCAAACTACTTCAAAGAGCATCTCAAACACAGCAGGCTACAATAGGAACCGATTCGCTCATTGTTTTCCTGCTGCTGGGGGAGGCGCTACTGCTGTGGCACATACAGGTCAGAGGTTCAACAGACCTGCAGCTCTCACAGGAACCCAACAGGAACTGCAGGAAAAAACTGTGTACATATATATGACATGCCACCAGTTGGGTGAGCTTTATATGTGGACTTCAGAGGTCTGCGCTTTTCCTCCACTAATATTTACTGATGTCAGAGCATCTCTGTGAGGGAGAGCAGCCTGAAATCACCAGCTCAGAGTAACTCAGCTGAATTATTTAGTACTGATGACAAAGACAGTGGCACTCAGCCGCATTCACCAACATCATTCTTTTATGCAAGCAGGGACGTGTTTTCTTAAATTTCTTCGTAGGTTGTTCTGAAGAAAGATCCTAAGGTGTTCTTAAACCATAGTTGTTTGCACCAGTGTTCTTACATTAATGAATTCCATGTGTACGTAAGTTGAACGCGTGTGCCAGTCATAACTAATTAGCATAGGCTAGCACCCTGCCAGTGCCCATAAAAGAGCATGAGACTGCAGGGCCGTGCGCACACAGGAATCTCACACAGAAATGGAAAAGAGAAGCTGAGAAAGCCAGGAATGCTACAATGAAAATCTGAAGACAGTGGAGCAACAAACTCCAAACTGGAGAAAAACCTGAGTGGAGAACAACAAATGAGCTGCCATGTTTAGTAGCATCAGTAGTGGAAATGAAGTAAAACAAAGATGCGTGGGATGCTTACTTGTTCAGTGAACAATGTATAAGGAGAAGGGTGCACAGCTGATGAATTAAGAAGACGTTTGAGCTCAAAACCAAAAAGAGACCCTGACCAGTGGAGGACGACAGGCTGGCCCAGAGGTATCTAAGCTGGGCCAGCACTTTGGGGGCATACACAACTCTCTCGGGTGTGCCGTCAGCTGAGCGTGCACCCAGGTCCATTCAGCTGCTCTGAGTCTGATCTCAGATGTGGTGCTGGACAACCAAAGGCTTTCACACCGGCCAAAATATCCAAGAGACACTTAAAGAAGTCAACAGATATTAGGAATAAAGATATGCCCTTAAACATGTTCCGTTTTTAAGTAACATGTTTCCTAATTCTAAGCTACAAATAATCACACTGTAAAAGTTAAATTAATTTTTAAAACCCTGATATATAAACAAGTAATTAATTAATTGCTGTAATTTTTAGTGTAGTTAATGCACTTTAAATGATGATCACTATGGAGAATTTATGTGTGAAATTATGGAAAGAGCAGCAGAGAATGTACACAATTGTTCTGTTGTGGAGATTCTAGCTTGTGAAAGATGATTGCTAGTCTCTGAAATGCTTTTCGCTTTAGAACCCATCTGCATATCTATCAGCCAATTGGGACTGAAAACGGAATCAAGCCCCTTATTCAGCCATCTTTACATAGAGTGGAAATGTCTGGTGCTGTGTGTTGATCAGTGTCTAAGCACAGCAGGAGGACTTGTGTTCCCAGGCACTTAATATTTAGACATGGATTAGAGTAAACAGAATATTTTCTGTTACAATCCCATTTCATTCATTCACTGCGATCCTCTACTGGAGCAGACAAGACCACCACAACGTTGGTGGCAAAGTGGTAACAAAGTGGGGTGGGCTCTTAGGCTCAGTCAGGGGCCAGTCGGATAGGGAAGGAGGGGTGCTGGGGCTGCTGAGCATGAGGTCACACCAGGCAGGGTAAGTGTGTAACAGTGAGTGTAGTATCTGTAGTGGGGTTGGACATGGCGGCCTGGCCGGCTGGGCAGTGTGGATATCCTTGCAAGGGGCAAACACTGCACTGTCTGGCCTGGCAAAAGAGGTGGTGCCAACGCAAAGCACCCAGCTGTGTTCGGACCCTGGGTGGGGGTCTGTCAACAATAGGATTTCCCAACTCTAATAATAGTCCTGGCTGATAAGGGGGAAAATGAGTGGTCTAAAGGTTATGGAGGTTAGTTTGAGCCCAAAAGGTCACAGGCCAAGCTTCCTGCTATCCTTGTTACAGTGTCCCTTAGCACGACCAGCTCATTAACTCTCTGCTTTAACGGGTTCCACTGAAGGAAGGTGTGGGTTGCTGGGACCCGGAGTGAATGCACAGCTCTACTGAACAAGCCACATACCATGTATCCACAACATTCTGCATCTGAACCTCATTGGAGTTCCCCTCTAAACATTCACTACCTACCACTGAGAATCAGTCTAACAGATATACTGCTCCCATGACAGTAAGTAGTGGAAGTGGGAAACAAGTTAAACCAGATATAGCCTCCTTGTTTTCCCACTGGAACTTCTACTGTAACTGCTCCTCAAACATGACCACCATGAAGACCGTTCACTGCTGAGTGAAGCAACCAGTGATGATGATAATTAGGGCAGCAACAACTAACCAATTAAACTGGCAAAAAAAAAAATGGTTGGCAAATGAATTTAATTGTCAATTAGTAGGGTCTAGTCATGCAGCTGTGTGAGAGACTGCTGGGTCAGCGACTAGGTGGCTACAGTGGGCTGTGCAGGCTGCTAGCAAAGGTGCTAAATGCATTTGTGTTGCATTCATGTAAATGAGACCTGTGAACAGCCAAGTGTTCTATTCAACACATAAGCAAAACTAAGTTTATACAGTAGGTGTGCTCAGGAACATTAACGGCGCAGTGCAGAGTACACAGCCTAAGAGTGAATGTGTTGAGGATTTTTCAGGCATACTCATTAATTTTAACCATCAGCAGCAGCAGCAGACATGTTTGTACTGGCCCTTTACATTAGCATGGTTTTATGAACACATTACTTTAAATCATAAACATTTAAATGTTTTGTTAACACTTTAAAGACCTACTGTGCACTTTACAGAAAGCACAAATAATTACATTTTTCTCTTGTTTAATAAAACACTGCATAGAAACATTGCAAAAGCTTTTTTAAATGAATGCACATTTGTTTTCATAATGTGGAAAAATGATTTCTGCATGCTTTTTAATACATTGATTAATCAACAGATTAATCAATTATTAAAATGATTAGGTACGGCCCTAATGACAATATATTGGACTGTATTTTATATAGCGCTTTCTCACAGTGTGTTACACTGGCCAAAGCGCTTTACAGGAGATTATACACCATTCACCCATTCACACACACATTCACACACCGATGACGAGAGGCTGCCGCACACTGGCGCCAGTCGAACCACCGGGAGCAATTTGGGGTTCAGTGTCTTGCTCAGGGACACTTAGGCATGCGGGGAGACCGGGAGTCGAACCACCAACTTGCTGGTTAGAAGACGACTGCCCTACCTCATATTCGTAGCTACAGTTGAGCTGAGTTTGAATGCCGCACTTTAGGTCACTTTTCAGGTCTCTGCATAGTTATGCATCATCTAGGTAGCAGCAACACCAAAGAAAGTGCACCATTAGCATGTCTGTGCAGCACAAGGGCTCCTTAAATTATGAATGGCTGCTCTCTTTCTGTCACCGGGCATGCACAGGATAAATGAGACTATGGCCAGCCAGCTCCCCCATCCCCCAGGGAATGTTGGTACATTCCATTAAGAGGAACACTTAATTAAACCATGATAAAATACCTCTCAGAGACTCCAGAGGGGTCGGGAGGAGGGGGGGAGGATGGGGATGGGGGTAGCAAGAGACAAGGGAGGGACTCATTATACCCCCTAACCATACCCCACAATTCTTCCACCAATGAGTTATCAACGAAATAACACAAAATCACCCTTCTGTGAATTGTCTGTGTCACTACAAAAGATGAGAGCTGAATTCTTAAAAGGGTCTGTCTGTCTGTCTATATACAGGTCCCTTTGCTCTAGAATGTTTAGAACAAAGACATTTCATGACTCACCTACCGCTGCATCCTAAAGCATATCATGCTTCATGCATAATATTTTACACGTGAATGCAAAATGATACGTGTAGTCTGCAGAGTGTGATGTTTTTCAGTTTAAGCTGTTGTTTTAGCCGTACTGTGCTTCAGGAGCTTTACTACCATGTTAGTTTTCTGAAGATTAATTCCTGTATATCAGTGGCAAAAAATGGCATGTGCAACTTATGTGAGCAAACCTCTGAGCTGTTGGCACTGTGCAGAACCTTGAAAGAGTAAACATCCAGTTCTTTACCTTTCCCAGCACGGTGAGACAACTGGGATCCAGCTCAGGTTGTTCCAGCTTCACCACTCCAACCCAGCCGTACTCATATAGGTCCTCCTCATCGTTATTATTACATAAACCCAAAGGATGCATCTGGAAAAAAGGCAGACATGATAGATAAGTATATGTTCTACAAGTATATGATTTACTGTTAATCTCAATGGAGACCACGGGAGATCTTAACATGCACCCTTCAACGTAAAAATTTAAAAAACTGGCCCACATGATGCCTTAAGTTTGAGGATCCTGGCATCGCTGGCGTGGTGGAAATTATTTTAAATCTGAACTAATCTCTCTCTTCTGAAGAAGAACCATAATTTACACTATAATCCACTTGTCACCTATTTTCCATAATTATACATAAGAGCTTAAAAGCTTTATACATCTCTGAAGTATTTGCTGTGAGCAGCAAACACACATACAGTACAGCGTTCCACCTGACCTCTCAAAGAATAGCAGCAGATAGTGATTTACGTGTTTTCATGGATCTACTGAATAGGCAGATTTTCACTGAATTTCTACTTAATGAAAGGTGCATTAAGTGTACATCCAGTCTTTCACTGCTCTCTTATTAATATAAAAAGTGGATGCTGCAGACACACACTCACACACACACAGGCTGATCAGTGTCTACCAGCCTATCTTGAGTTGTTCTCTAATTACACTTAAGGCCACTAAATTGGCCCAGTTCTCTGTGCCAAAAAAGCTCTGCAGAGCCAGCGGCTAGAAGTGTTTTTTAAGAAGATTAAAGCTAACGGATAGCAGACATCACAAACACTGACTCACTCCCGGGGTTCAAAAAAGAACAAGGAGGCAGCCTCCTTACTTGCAAACAAACAGAACCATTCCTCTTAAAGCATTTATCTCAAAGCACTTCAATTTGATTTTGGAATCGTCTTGACTGTGGGCAGATGGTGAAGCAGTCTGGAGAATACCTACATGTAAAACAGACATAAAACTCCAATTTGTATTCCATATTTTGACATCAGGAGGATGCTAGACACTGTTGTCTAATCAATAATCCTGTAGATGTGCTAGCCTGCCCTCCTGGGAGTGGTCTGTGTCACAAGGGAAGGCAACAACACTAGCAATCACAGCAGGCGATTGCTTGAACTGAACTGTGCAATAAAAAAAATGTAAAAAATACAAATCCAAAAATAGGAATGACAGCAAAGTGGTGAGGACAACTGCAGCTGTCAGCCATTCACTGGGATAAAATAATGATCTGCTCAAACAGGGTTGGATTAAAACTGTAACCAAAAGGAGCCCCAGAATCCTGGATTCAGACAGAGGAAAGACAAGCTCCTGTATTAGCATTAGAACTGGGCCAAACTGACCTGCAGGCCACTTATCCTATTAACCCAATGACCACAACACCTCAATCAGCCAGCACTGAGGCGCCAAGTCTTTGGCCACTCTGGCCCCTGGGCCACTGCTGATGACCCAAGATACCCTAGTCCCTGTGGTGACCCCTGACCTTTGAACCCCACTTCATCAGGCTGGGAGCAGGTTAGTCGTGCAGCAGACCAAGTGAAGAGATATTCGTAATGTGCCTAGTCACTTCAGTGTCACAAGGCATAGGACTCAAGGACCATGACATGAAGGAATTTTTGGAGAGAACTTAGCTACGACTATGGGGGTCAAATGCAGATCAGGGGGAGTGTGAAAGAATCATAAGCCCTTTACAGACATGCACTCCTTTCCATTAATCTAACGGCACCTGAATGTGTTGGGTTTATGTTTGAATGAGCACCCTGGTCACGACGGCAATCTGACTAGGTCGGATCTAGTAACGGTTATGTATGACTTTCAACACAGCGCAAGTCTGAACTGCACGCAGTCAAAATAACGTATAGGCATCCACAAGATCATGGCGAACTCGCACCATGGGTCTCTGTCACAGCTGTCTTATGGCTGAATGAAGAAAGACGTTGCTTTAACAGGCTGATGAAACCAGCAATGTTACGTATCCCATGTCTGAAAAGGGCTAGAGCGAAGGAATGTGGACACTGTGCTGTTTTGTATTTGTTCTTTTTGCCTTGGGGATGAAATCTGATGAAGAGACTGGTATCAGTTTTAATAATTGAGGTGCAGGCACGAACAGCAGATGCAGAATTGGAGAAATTATATTCCTGTAAGGGATGTTAAGATCGAAGAACATTTCAGACCCAAAACACAAACACACTTGCAGAGTCTTCACACTTCCTCTTAGATCCTGACTTTCTCCTTTAGAAAAAAAGCACACTCACCCTTGAATCCGCCTCCCACACAGGCGGATGGGAGGGTGATGAAATGTGAGAGAGTAAGCTCTGATTTTCAATCACAAACCTTGTCCTTCAAAACAAAATGGCTCATTCTTGCAGTAGAGTAAGAATAAAGAGTGAAGAGGTCTTCCTAAAGCACCACTGCTACTCTGACTCAAATGCCTTTTCACAAATCCACAGGATGCAATCACCTTGTCCGCCTGCACTTCATAGATCCACTGGGCATTTTCTGACAGATGCTTTTTCTCTTGTAAACAGGTAAGGGAAAGGCTGCTGTGCCCTGGATGACTGTTTGATATATGTTAGCCTTGGGCTGGCAGGAGCAGGGAGGCGGCACAGGTATACATTACATCCACAGTTGGCATGATCATTTCAGAGCGTGCACACCCTCTCAGCCTTCGGAGGATGAAAAGAAAGACAAAGATAAAAGAGTGTAACCTAGTCAGGTTTTCATTCAACCTGTACATCCCTACCTGCCCTTCCCACATATCACTCTGCAAACCATGACTGTTGCAAACTTTACATCCTGTGGTAACACTTTGAATTCCACGTGAGATGCCCTGTGAGCATGTTGTTAGGGAGGAAGCAGAGAGAGCCGGTGTAGGAGGGTATTTAAATCTGTGTCACACTGCTTGCTGTGTGATTATGACCTCTCTCTCCTTGTCTAACAGCTTGGATGGTAGCGAGCAGCCCCGCCTGCGCCAGAGTCCTGAACACTAGGCCATTGTGCGGGGGCTCCTGTGCTCCAAATGGGGCAGTGCTGTTGATGTGGAGCATGTTGTTATTTTACAGACTGGCCACTGCACCATTATCTCCACCACAGGGATTTTTCCTTTGTGTCAGGTGTTGATATGCACTGATGGATGTGGGGATGGGGGAGCAAAGGAAAAAAATGAGACATGGGGATCTAGTGAAGTGGGTCACAACTACTGGCCGTGCACACACACAAGCATTAAGTACGTATGCAAATATGCCTTCTCTTGCACACACAAAAATGACAGTCTGTCTCCTCTTGTGTTCAAACTGCTAGCTCTCCCTGTTGGGCCCCAGCTCTCACATAAGCTCAACCCACTGGAATCACTCAGTTGTTCCACTTAGGTCTACTCCTACATCCACAGGGTTTTTGGGTGAAGGCATCCAGCACCCCCACAGTGGCACAAGGGGATGGCTCTGCCCTACATGTCTTGCCCCTGGGGGTGGCAGCCTCTCACGTGAATATCCAATTACACAGGAGACACTCTCAGTGAAATCCTGGCGGGGATTTGAGCGCAACCTCTCACTCAAGCTGGCCACACCCCCTGCAAACCCCAATGCATTTCTGCAAACCACCTGAAGTGACAACATCTTCTTAGTACTACACTGTTCAAAAAATTAAGAGAACTCTTAATCATCAGAGTATAACATCAAGTCATGGGACATCAATCTGTCCATTTAGGAAGCAAAGGTGACTGTGAATCAGTTTCACCAGCTTTGGTGCAAATGAAAGAGACAATAGGTGCAATGGAGAGGCAACAGCAAGACAAACCCCAAAGAGGGAATGGTTTTGCATGTGGTGGCCACAGACAAATGCTCTCTCCTTATCCTTCCTGACTGATTCTTCTCATGTTTTGTGTTTTGCTAGTGTCCTTGTCACTACTGGTAGCATGAGGCAGAACCTGCAGCCCAATCAGGATGCACAAGTTGGAGTCACTGTGTATCAGACTTGCTCCAGCCCATCCCCCCCAATACCCGGTTGATGGTTTGGCCCTCCTCAGACCACCATAGACTGGAAGCACCCCACAAGCCTTGCCATTTGTCAGTCACATAGGTCTTTACATGTCCCAATTTCTCATGCATCCCACATGCTGACGTCCCTGCCAATTGACCGTGCAGTATCCCAGAACTCTTTCAAGAAAAGATTCACTTCCTCTTTGAGTGGCTCATCAGTGTTGGATGTGCATTTTACTAATTCTATCCTCACTTTCACTTCAACATGAAAACTCGTAAAGGTGGCCATTAAAAATGAACAATCAGCAAGTTTGTTTTCTTCAGAATAGATCTGAAATTTTTCTAAGTAATCAAAACATCTGGGTTTGCACATGAAACATCCACAAAGCTTAAACAACAAGTTTCCTTCTGACAAAGCAGAAATTTCAAAAGGATTACCAAAATCTAAAATTCTAAAAGAAGTTGCTGAAGTGCATGTCTATTTAAAGATATGCAATTGCTGAAATGTCACACTTAATGTGCTTTGCATTACAATAAGGCATCCTTGCTACAACACACCAGGAGCTGAAAACATCAAAGGCAAGTAGGTGGATTGGAGAGCAGGAAGATCCCTGAGCTAAACTGATCCATACAGGATTCAGCTACAGACTTGCATATATGTCTTTCAAACATCAACTCAAAGAAATCCTTTAAGACATCTCAAGCACCAGTATTTTACCCAGAACTCAGTTCCAACACCGTGTTTCTGTTGCAACCATCAAAGCTGCCTTGTTGTCTGAAATGGGTGCCAGTCAAAGACAGTTTTAACAAGATGTTCTTTTTGACAAACGATTAACTGGACAAATCTGTTGTTCATACATTTCTTTTATGAATTTTGGACGAAGAGCTGGCACCCATTTCACATGCACACAAAATCTAGAAGAAGAAAAACCTGGGCACGGGGCCAATCCTCACACCAACCTGCTTCTCCAGCGCCATGCATGTGTTTACGTGTCTCACTGTTTGAGCACAGGTGTCTGCAGACTGAAACATGGCTGACCGAGGGGCAACTCTCTCTGGCATCTCTCACTGACTGTCCAGTCATCGTGAACTCACATCCACCTACCTGGGTAATTTAGCTGA